TCATTCATCTCATCTCTCTATTTACATTTATTTTCACTACTTTTTCCTCTGCTTTTACTGTTGTTTTGCTTGTCAACAATGTCTGCCAGCTTGTCCTTTGGCCTGTCTGTGTCTTCTCCCACTTCCCAGGACCTTCCACATGTGCTTAGTGCGACAAGTTGTCTGCTTTTCATTCCGGGGTAGAAAATGATGAAAATTTCCATATTATCGAAGTTCAACGGGCACTCAAAAAGGAAGGAGGAAAGTCAGGACACAGGACGGGGCCAGACAGGAGCTGGGTTGGGGGGCAGCAGCAGCAATGTGTGATAATTTGTTGATTTGGGCCTGGGACTTGTTGCATGCCGCCCTTGAGGCGGCTTGTGGCAATACAATGCCAAAGAGGACGAAGGCGTGACCCAGGATTGTGTGGGTGTTTCTCACAGAGGGGGAGCAGAGTAAAGGAAGGAAGGAAGGCAGGACCCAGTGGGTAGACGGGTCCTTCGTCTGCATGTGTATTTCGATGCCGGACGTCAAGGACACACGGCACAAGACGGTCGAAAAATACTCGGGGAATGTTGAGAATACTTTTTCTTGCTCGCTCTCTTTCTCTTACTTTTGGCTTAAGCCTCCCTCCATATCCTTCGTCCTTTTTGGTGTGTCTGTCTGGCCTTCTGGCTGGCCGTGTCTGGGTGAGTGTGTTAATGTATTCATTGCCTGGCCGCATGCCGGATGCCGGATGCCGGGTTCCCGGTTAGCCGGATGCCGGAAGTAGTAGTCAGCAAGCCATAAAAACTTAAGGAGCAGGAACCCCCCTTAGCCCTCCTTTCTACCTCCCCACTTCCCCCTCATACACACGCATATGTTGAATCCAAAGCCAAGAGTGTGTGCTTGGGTTTTTTTTCTCTCTCTGCTTGTTTTTTTTTTTGGGCATCACATATGCTCCTGGCTGGGTGACAAACACACAGGCAGGACTCGGCTAGCTAGGACTAACAGGAGAGTGTGTGTGTGTGTGTGTGGGGGTTGCCACTGGCTCGCCGACGGTTTTCTTTTTCTTCTACTTTTATTTTCATTCTTTTTTTTTTTGGGCAGGACCAAGTGAAAGTGAGTCACATGCCAGGATAACAACAACAACAGAGAGGAGGATGTCAACGACTCACTCACTTGCCTGGTCAATTGCCATGTGTGTGTGTGTGGGTGGGTGTGAAACGACCTTGGCCTTACTTTCTGCCTTTGTCGTTGTCGTCGTCGTCGTCGCCGTGCGTGTGTTGACTGGCTTCGTCCTTGGGTCTCTCCTGCTTCTTGCTCCCTGCTCCCTGCTTCTTGTTCTGGTAATTTTATGCGGATTATCACTGGCAAACACACACACACCCACACACTCACTCTCTCTCTGGCAGGTGAGAGGCGTGCGTGTGCTTGTCAGACAGGTAGACAGACGGTGGGCGGGCAGGTCTGGCTCCCAAGATGGCAGCCGCAGCAAGGTCAAGTCGTATCGAGTCGAGTCTCTCGGTTCGGTTGCCAGGCAAAAGCAGGCAGAGCTTGGAGAGGAAGTAGGGGGAAGGAGCCAGGAGCCAGGAGCAGGGGGAAGGCGGCAGGAGCCAGGAGCTGTAGAAGCCGGAAGTTAAAAGTCCACAAAGTGGGACAACAAACCAGAGCTCTGGGGGGTGTTATGGTCTTGAACATCGACAAACACTTGAGAGCCCAGAGCACGGACAGTCTGGATTTTAATTTTCCAAAAGCCACCTCCCATCCTCTCAGTCTTGGTCTTGGTTCTGTTCGCATTGTCTGTCGGCTATGGGGTGTATATATGTGTGTTTGTCTCCAGCTTCCAGTTACTTCCCCTGCCACCTCTTGAGCTCCCATCTCTCCATCTACATCTCCATTTCCCCAGCTGTTTGTCGACCAAACTCCTTCGCGGTGGCCACGCAACGTCCTTGAGGCATTACCCAGCCACCACCACAGGAGGCTGAGGTCCAAGGTGGGTTTTTTTTTTTTTTTTTTTGGGTGATGTTTGCTTCTTGGGCTTCGTCTCTAGGTCAGAGCATTTGCCACCTGTTGCAGGATTATTTAAGAGAAATGAAAGGCGAAAAGAGGAGCGAGAAGGTGGCTCAAGGAGAGGCTCAGGAAAAAGGCGCAGGAATGGGCACAGGAAATGGCACTGGGCTCCACCTGGCAGACGCTAATTAATGACCTCAGTTGCGGCCCCGTTCAATACCATTGTCAATAACAATTATGCGGATATTTTGAACAATCCAGAGTGTGTGTGTGGAGAGTGTATTATTGTATGTTTGATATTTTATTGAAAAACTTTGCTGAACCGAAAAGCGTGAAACGTAGAACATGGAAATGCAATAAAGCGGCTTCTGCTTTTATTTTTATTTTTGGGTTGGTGGCTGTCGTCCTTCTCACTGGCTAAACTTTGCATGAAATTACAAGCTCAAATGCGCCACAGGAGGAAAGATGCAGGAGCAGGAAATCCAAACAAAATAAAAAATTGCATTTAACAAAAAAATGCAAAATGAGAAATGGCAGGGCAGAGCAATGAGAGGCTTTCAAACAATAGCAAAAAACTATCAAAACTGACTTTCTACAATTTACACACATGTCTCCACACACACACACACACACAAAGATACAGATACAGATACAGAAACGAAATGAGTGGAAAAAAATTTATAATTATTTTAATACAAAAGCGCAAAAACAAAAAGCGACAACAAAAGCGAAATTGCATTAACAATGCAGCGAGGAAGCTTCCCCCCTCCCATAACCACACTATATCACATATATGTATATGTATGTGTAAGCCACATAGACCAACGAATAAGGAAAAATAAAAAGTAGGAAAAAAAATATAAAAAATAAATAGACAGAAGGAGGAGAAGCAGGAGCAGGAGCAGGAAACAAGGAGCGCTAGGAAAAAATGGGAAAAAATAAATACCGCACCAAATTATATTATAATTATATTTAAAATGCTGCCGACGGAGACGCGCCTGGCCACGCCCCCTTCCTGGTTGTGTCCAGAAAAAAAAGGAAAAGAAAAATAATAAAGAATTACTAATAATTTTGTTGGCGAAAAAGGAAAAATATGCACACATTTTGAGCTTTATATATAAACATATATGAGAAAAGATAATAGATAATATAAAAAAGGAGGTTTATATATATAAAATGTAGAATATTATAAAAGAAAAGTCTTTCTATAGTTTTTTGTGGGTCTTCTTTTGTGTTAGATGATCGAGAATATATTTTAAAATAATTAAAAAACAAATAAGAAAGCTATAGCCTTCTTTATATAAAAGCTACTTGTTTGGGTTTTAAGTTAAACATATTAAAATAAAAAAATATATATTAATATATAATATACATAAATGTATAATATATATAAATTTATAATATATATAAAAATTAATTGAAATTAATTAATTAAACTTCTAAGCTAAGAGCTTTCGGAGCAAAAATCCAATAAAATATCATATATCATATTAAGAAAAACCGTAAACATTGATATATCAAAATTTGAGTTTTAGAAAAATTGTCTTTTTCAATATTGAAATATCGAACATATCAGGAAATATAAAAATATCAAATATCATACCTACAAAAATCGTACTTCTAGATCTATAAAATTTTTAGGTATTAAAAAGGAATTGCAATCAACTTTAAATTAACAATATTTTCGATAAATTTCTAAAACAGGGTTATTGATTTTCTTTTTTTTGTAATAATATTAGTTTGATATATTAAAAAGAATAATTTGTAATTGCATATAAATATATTGCAACCCTAAAGTATGGATTTCATTATAGAATTTTGAATAAAATGTCATTATATTCAGTCCTTTTTTTAGTTTAGTCCCCATTCTTTGGGTTTCTATAAGAACTAAAGCTAGTTTTTAGGGCACCTAGCTGTAAATTTAATAATAAATATATATATTTTTTTAAATAAGCCAAAAGCTGAGACCTCACACACTCAAGAAGATAAAAACTAAATGAGATTTTCCCGCTGAGCCTTCAGGGGAGTCTTCTAACTTTGTGGAGAGTGGTGTTGGTGTTGGTGTTGGTGTTGGTGTTGGTGTTGGTGTTGGTGTTGGTGTTGGTGTTGGTGTTGGTGTTGGTGTTGGTGTTGGTGTTCGGTGTTGGTGTTGGTGTTCGGTGTTGGTGTTCGGTGTTGGCCAGAATAACAGAGAAAAAATGCATAATATGCCGCCGCCGGCACAACAACAATGACACACACACACACACCACACACAACACAGAAGCTAGGAGGAGCTGAGGATTATGAGGCAGTATGTGGACGAGGTCAGGCGAATAAATTTCTGGCGCTTCGGGAAAACGTATCACGTATACGCCATGTGTAACACGGTTGCCGCAGTGCAGCCCAAACACAAACCGTTTAGACGAGTAAAAGAGAACCTGTTTGAGCAAGCAAGAGAGGCGAGGAAGGGAAATGGGATGGAATATATAGATATATATATGTTATAGTCCTGGCCAACAGCCAAAAAACTCTGATGCTAACTATAATTTGCACTCCTTGCTCCTGCCGTGGCTGTTTTAATTTCATTTGCATACCCTGCAATTGCCATGACGGTGAATTACAACCAATTTTCCGGTAGCTTTTCCGAGGTCTTAGGAAGAGGTATCTGGGAATCGAACCCCCCCGGGTGGGCATTACTCAATACGTGCCGCTTTGTCGGCTTAATTTCGTGCATTTCTCTCTTTTTTTTTTGTTATGTTCTTTTGGCTAAAAGTAATTTATGTATTTATTATATTTTTTACAAGTCGGTCTCTCTGTATCTCTCCCATGCAATTCATTTTCGCTCCATTTGTTTTGGTTGCCTTATAGGTTTAATTTTTTCTATTTTTTGTGTTTGGTATTTAGACAAAACCCCAATTGTTGTGGCTCCTAACTGACTTTGGCATAGACAATATGTGGGCTATATATTGTATTATTCTTTCTATCTGTGTGAATTTGTGCCTCAATTTATTACAAATGCAATTTGTTTTCGATTTCTCTTTTTGCAGGAGCTAAAAGGAGCATTCTAGGAGGATTTTTGAACCAAAATGGGGTAAGTTTTCATTGAAACTTTCTTAATATTTAATAACATGAGAGAGTTCTATAATTGGGAGAGAATTTGATTTTATTATAAGAGATCAGATTGTTAGAAAAGGGTACTGCTTTGGTAAAATTGGAGAAAATATAAGTTATCTATGAGTTAGATTGAAAAAGTATATAGAAAGGATCTATTTCTTAACCCACAAATATAATCTCCAAGATTCTAAGCTTATTACTAAGCAAGAGAGATATATACTCCCATACAAACTCCTTTATATACTTTTTTAAATACTCCTCCATATAGTTTTATATATACTCCCCTATATACTTTTCTATATCATCAAATCCCTGCTCCAAATTTCCGCATTTGCAACTCAAAAAAAAAAAAAAAGAAAATAAAAAAAAGAACAGAAAACGCAAATCGCAATTTCCATCTTCGGTCTCAGGCGTGACATTCCATGCGAATACATCATTTTCATTTAGCGGAAATCTCAACTACAATGTGCTCAATGCCAAAGACACTGGAAGTGACAGGAGTGTAGTAGGAGTAGGAGAAGGAGTAGGAGTAGGAACAGTAGCAGCAAAAGCAGTAGCAAAAGCAGTAGCATGGAGCATGAGCAAGGATGTGGTGCCCACCCCTGTTTGGCTCTATGTAGCCTGTGCCTCCCCCCCTCCCCCGTCTGGCAGTTACCGCACATTGCCAATCTTTTTTATATATGCTCGAGTAATACTTTTGCAAACTTGGCTCCTTTGGCGCTTCCTTTGCTTCGCGTGGGCGGGCTGTAAAATTTGTGTCTAAACGCAAAACAAGGCGAAAAAAAAGGAATAAAATAAATATAACGGCAACTCAGTGTACAGTGAGGAAAATATTGTATTCTAAGAAGTTTTCTTTAATTTTGTTATTTTTTATGAAATAAATTTACCATGATTATATTATTGGGTGATCATTTTAGAAGATTCTATAAGCTCGTTTTAAAGATTTAAATGTTATAGATATTATATTCTATAAAGTTTTCTCAATTTTTATTATTTTTTATTAAATAAATTTTACTTTATTATGTTTACATTAAAAAGGTGATAGGTTTAAAAGATTGTCTAAGATTTTTTTAAAGATTTAAATGTTAGAAATATTATATTCTATGAAGTTTTCTCACTTTGTTGATATTTTTATTACATAAATTTACCCTAATTATGTATATATCAATAGGGTGTCAGTTTTAGAAGATTCTAGAAGCTATTTTGGATGATTAAAATGATGTTTTAAAGGTTTATGTTGCTTAAAGATAATTTAATTGATTTAATGATATGAAAATTGATTATTGAAAGGTTATAATTGGTAGAATGGGAAATTCTGAAGTTGTATAATAATATTCCTGAAATAGTAACAAAAACATTGTGAAACAAAATTTAATAAGCTTCTAATTAAGTTATTTTTCTAATTGTTTCATTTGTTATTTCACCATAAGAACTTTGGAGAATTTTATTGTTATATTAATATCTTCGTTTACCCCAAAATTTCTCTATGTGTATGTATAGTGAGCAGTTCGTAGCTCGTATCTTGTAGGTTGTTGCAGGGCTCTGGGACAGCCGCACAACCGTTCAATCAACACCCCATTTGACTAACAACAACAACAACAAGTTGGCTATGAAGACGAAGGCAAAGGCAAGGACAAACAGCTCAAGAGAGAGAGAGAGAGAGATAGATAGAGAGAGGGAGAAAGAGAAAGAGCGATGGAGAAAGCAGCACAAACACTATTCTAACGTTCGCGGAGCTATAAAAATATTTTTTAACATTTCTCGCGCGCGAGTTTTTGGCGCTCTCTCTCTCTCTCTCTGGCTCGCTTTCTCTTTCTCTCCTTTTTCTTTTTCTTCTGCTAACTCTGTCTCTATCCTTGTCCTTGCCCTTGCATCCCTTTTAGCCTTCCCTTATAAAAAAGAAACCCCCCCAGATACCCATTTTTTTTTTGGTATTTTGTAGGAGAAACTGTTAGAGCTGCGAAAGTTTGCGTCTGTTTGTCTTCGGAGCGCAGAGACTTGGCTGGGGTTCCTTTTTTATATCTCATTTTTGGAGGTTTGGGGGTTCTGGCAGCATAATGAGAGGCACCCGTCTCTGGCAACAACAACAACGCAAAATAATAATAATAATAATAATAATAATAATAATAATGAAAAGTTTTATGTTTCTGCATAGAACGAAAGCGGGCAGAAAAAAATATTGCCAAAAAAAAAAGGACAAGGCAAAAGGAGCTCCCATGTATTTGAAACTAAACTGCAAAATAGAAGAAGCTCTGCGGGCTGCGGGCTTAGGGTTCGGGCTTCACTGCACATTAACTTGCCTCGTCCTGTAGCAAGTCCTGCTCACTCTTTATCCCCCCCTCTACTCCTCATCTCCTTGAAAGAAAGTTGTAACTATGAAAATTTTATAAATTCCGCAGATTTTCTGGCGCTAAGAAAACCGAGCATAGCTAGGGAATGGTGAGGGGTTAAGGGTAAGGGGTCCTGCACAGGAATTAAAAATGTTTGAGAAAGTTGAATTTATATTTTCGTTGGAATTACATATATTTTGATATCCTTGCTGGGTAGTTAGAAGCTTAAAACTGAGTGAAGGAGTCATTTCCGACCCCATAAATTATATATATTCTTGATCAGCATAAAAAGGCGAATCTTTTTAGGCACAAAAGTGGAAAACTAATTTTTGAAAAATTTTTTTTTTCAATTTTTAAACCCTTTTTTTCATTGTTAACAAAATGAAAAATCGGCAAAATTTCAAATAGTTTATAAATTAAATTTTGGTATGCAGATTTATTGACCTATTAAAAACTAGAACAGAACAGCTTTCCGAATTGCAATTAAGGCATTTTAGGCTTAGTTATAAGTTTTTAAAGCTTTGATTTGTTTAAAATATTGCCTTATTAAAATATAGTAAATATCTACTAATAAATTGCATTATAATTTTAGTTAGAAGCTTAAAATCCAGTGAAGAAATCATTTCCGACCCTATAAATCATATATATTCTTGATCAGCATCAAAAGCCGAATCGTTCTAGCTATCTTCGGCAGAAAATTTTTTTTAAATTTTTACAACATTTTTTAAGATGTTATTTTTCATCTTTTAAAATATGAAAATTTGACAAAATTTTAAAATTTCAAAATTTAAAAACTGAGTCTACAGTTTTGTTAGCGCTATTAAAACTAGCATAGAACAGTTTTCCGAATGAAAATTAATGCTTTTTGGCTTAGTTATGAGTTTTTGAAACTTGGATTTTGTCTATAGAATTGTCATATGAAAATATCGATAAATATCGAGAATGGGAATATTTTAATTTTAGTTAAGATCGATTCAAATTGGAACCTATAATTTGATTTCAAATTGCAAACTGCTTGCCTAAATTTGTTTTCTTTCTTATTTTATATTAAAATATATTGTATATATTTTTATATATTATATAACATATCTTTTATATAAATTTATATGTTATATTATATGTTTGATATATATTATATATTATATTATATTATATATTATATTATATATTATATATATATTATATATATTATATTATATTATATTATATTATATTATATTATATTATATTATATTATATTATATTATATTATATTATATTATATTATATTATATTATATTATATTATATTATATTATATTATATTATATTATATTATATTATATTATATTATATTATATTATATTATATTATATTATATTATATTATATATATATCATATATATCATATCATATTATATCATATCATATCATATATCATATCATATCATATCATATCATATCATATCATATCATATCATATCATATCATATCATATCATATCATATCATATCATATCATATCATATCATATCATATCATATCATATCATATTATATTATATTATATTATATTATATTATATTATTATTATTATTATTATTAATATATGTATGTATATATCTCTAATTTCTCTGTGTGAATTATAGGATCCCGCTTCCCAGTCGTTTGGGGCAACGCTGGGGTAAGGTGGTTAGGTAGTTAGAGGTAGGTTGGAGAAGGCACTATGGTGGGTAGAGGGTTCTCTGGGCCCTGTGCCTTTGATAATGCGAGCTCTGGCATTTCCAGTTGGAGCAGGAGCTAACCTCCAGCTTCCTTTCCCCACCAAGACCCCCTTCATAGTTGGTAAACTTTTTGCAGCACGATGATGCAGTGGGTGGGTGGGTGTAAGGCTGGGGAGATGGGCCACTCGAGAGGCGTTGCTTTGATGGGAAGCAAAGGAGTCGTAATACTTAGCAACAGAATAAGTGGCCAGTGCTCTAAACAGTTTTTGAACCCAGATGAAATATGATTAAATGAGTGAAGGGAGAGCAGGAGCAGGAGTTAGCCTCTCGATTAAATCACTTCAAATTTTCGCACAAATAATTGAACGCTCAACGGTCCTCTCTTTGCGGTCTCAGGCGGTAAACAAGTAAATTCAAATTTAAATTCAATAAAAATTAATAAGGATGTCTGGCAAGGAGTCCGAATTGAATTATTTAATAAATTAATAAAGCAATGAAGTTGGAAACATCGAGGCGCAGCGGTTACGCCCACATCCTGATGAAGAGCAATTAAGTGAGTTTGGAGCACGGGGAGGTGGGAGGTGCGAAGGAGCTAGAGTCCTGGCTCCACCAAGACAATACCCTAAGTCAGGTACTTTTCCCACTTTTCCTGCTTTCTATTCACCAATAAAAATTATATATATATATATAAATAGGAATAATAAAAAAAGTGAAGAAAATCGATCGATAATTTTTAATGTAGTCGTATTTCTTTTTAAGCACTCCCATCGTCATTGTACCTTTTTCCCTCTCCCTCTCTCTCTGTCTCTCTCTCTCTGTTGCTTGCTTTCTCCCTCTCTTGCTCAACCCCAAAAAGTACCCTCTCTCCTACTGCTCCCTTTTAATATTTACCCAATTCATCAAAAAATAAGTAATTATAAACTTTTCAGTTTTTCTTCTACCGTCTT